TGATTTATTGTAGAGATGAGGTCTCACCAAGTTGCCCAGGCGGGTCACGAACCCAGACTCCGTTTTAAAAAGATTGTTTTTACCTTTGCCGTCCTGGGTATGGCTAATTAGGCCATTGGATACCAGGAGAAATATTGCACTAGCAGATATGGTCACTTGGTTGGTGATGCATTGTGTGTTTATGAATTTATTTAAACACAAAGAGGGGGACCCAGAAACAGGGAGATTATCTTTTGGAGGGTGGACCCCTGATAGTCCAGGCATCCCCCACTAGGTAAGTGTTCTAGCAACCCATCAGCATTTGTTGACCAGCCAGCATTGTTGTCAGAGATTGTGTTTGACTTCAGTGAATTTTTTTGGAGATTATTTCAACATGTTTGCCCATTTCAAGATGGGTGATTTATAAGTGCACCTACCCACACTGCACTGAGAGTTCAGCAGTCATTTTTGTTTTTTTTTTAATGCCAGAAATGGCATGACCTCCATGTCCCTCCCTCCCTATTCATCCAGTCTTTCCCTGAATGACTTTGTTTGTTTGTTTATTTGTTTCTCTGGATGAAAAAGTCCTCAAAGGGAAACATTTTGCCATGTAGAAGATATATATAAAAAACAACAGAAGCACTAAAAGACATCAAAATTGACATGCTCAAAAGCTGTGTTGAGCAGTGGGAAAAACATCTAGATAGATGTATTGCGTTAAATGGAGAGCACTTTGAAAGTGATTGAAGTTTTAAAATGTAAGAATAAATACACAATTTTTTATAGACAAATTCTGTTTTTTTTTTTTTGGTCCCTCCTCTTATACAGTGAATTGCGGTTTTAAGAATACCTTTCAGATTCCATAGGATTGTTAATTATTGCCACAATTTTTACCACATCTTGGGCTCAGAATAATAGGTTAGTTAGGGAGCAGCCATATGAGGAGACTTGGGTCCATGAGGGAATTTGAGGGAAACAGTGACAGTGTTATCCTCACAGCATTTTTTGGTGCCAGAAATTGTGATCCCTTGTAGGTTAAACTGTGTTACCTTTTGAAATTAACTAACTAGCAAACGTATATTCTGCCTAAAAGGAATGGCTCATGAATCAGCCTCTATGATTATGTTTGTTCTTCTTTAAAAAGGTTCTGCAGACAGTTGCCCCTTGATGTTCCAAAGCACAAGACTGGCTCATCAGAAATCTGACAGCCTACGTTTAGACTCAGGACAGAGAGCTCATACCAGGAAGAATACAGGACAGACCTCCCCTTTAATTTGGGCTGGTGCTGGCTGGTTCTCTCATTTCTTGGGATAGGAGAAGCAGTGTATCCTGACTAGGACACCCAAGATGAGATATGAAAGTCAGAGTTTAGAAGGGTCCATGGTTTGATGAAGTGAGTGGCGCTTCTGCTGTGCAATGGGTGATAGTGTCTTTGTGGGTCCAGAGCCCTTATAATATCTGAAGAAAGTTGTGAACCTTATTCCAAGAAAAACGCGCACATGTACAACATTTGACATGCTGTTTTGGGAGTGCATTGATGTCTCCCTCACTGAAGACCATTGCAGATCTGTCTTTAGAGCAGTAGCCTCTAAAGCAGGTGTGCATGCACTGGGGTGTGTAGAATGACCCACTGCAGTGCAGTCTCTTCTTTTTGTATTTGTTTTCTGTCTAACCTTTTTTTTCTGTAGAGGTTTTTAATTGCATATGAGGTATAAGTACCACAGTACACGCATAACATTTATAGATTGATAAACCAACTTAGCAGCAAGAGCTCAACTTTTTCCTGATAAGGACATGTAACCCCAAATCGGTAGATTACACAATTAGGGAGGAGTGGTTCTCATTGTAAATTCTAGACTCTCCTCTCCCCGAATTGGAGTGCCGGTAATAAGAAATTAAATCAAAGTTACTACCAGTGACTGGACTCTTTGGAGCTGATGATGGCAAGTGACACTTGCCCATGGTTGCCACACTTTCTCCCATGTGGCCACTGCACTTTCTCTCACGTGGCCGGGGACGCTGCAGTTCCGTGAGGTTGGTGTGCTAATGGAGATCTCAGGGCGCAGGCATGCTAGCCAAATTCTCGGGCCACTTGAGTCTTTCCCAAGGGCCTGAACCTCGTGGAGGGCAGAGCTGATACTCTCCACCACAGGGACTCACCATGAGCTACAAACCCCTTCCCTGAGCAGTGCCTGGAGCTCCCAAAGGAGATGGAGTTGCTGACATCCTGGCTGACTCAGGGACAGAGCACACATTTAAGGGCCTTGATCAGAGGGCCAGGAAGCTGAACTAACAGCTCTGCAGTAGCCCTCTCCTTTTGGTGCTGTAATGCCAACATATTTCAAAGCAGAGAGAGGCTCTGGAAGGGTTTAGACGCATCTATGTACAGAGAAGATTTACGATGGGTTATTAAGTGGGAGTTCTGAGCTGGCTTCACAGTGAGTGCCAGCCGCTCCCGTCCCAGATTTCCCCTGGTGGCACGTCAAAGGCAGAGCACTCACCCAGATGGATTGTTGTTCCGACCCAGAGTGACACTTCCAACTTTTCTTATATATAATCCAATTTCTGAACTTCCTTTTCAGTGGTATGAAGTAGAATAGCACACACAAGTCCTTGGCTTTAAGGATAACAAATGTGCCCAGCATGGCGCAGGTGTCTCCGTTGCATGCCAGTGCATTAGCGGTATTGGCTTTGGAATTCTGAACGACCCTTTTTACCAGGTTTGATGAAGGGCCCCTTCCCAGTTCTCAGCTACCGTTTCCTCCTTCTCCTATGTGCCATTTCTTCCCTCTCACAGTCACACAGGCTACAGGCAACTGACTTTCACTGTCTGAGGGTCATACGTTGTGAGGAGCGTCTCAGGGGCCTGGGGCTTGGTCTCTATGAGGGGGCTGGTGTGGAGGGCTCAGACCTTCAGGACGCCACTCCATGTCCAGGGTTCGAACCCAGGTCCCGGGAACAGGCCCAGTGGACCCTCTGGTGTGGTAAGGACCAGATACGTGGCTTCCAGAGAAGCAATGTCTAGCCAGATGGGGACTTGAGGGGTGGTGAGAGCTCCATCCAGAGAGGCCAGTTCAATCCACAGCTCAAGTGATTGTGTGAGACAAAGGCTAATTTCCTGAGAGTCCTGCTAATTAACGAGCTGTGTCCTCTGCTATCCTTAGAAGATGCCTCCTGAAAGCTCCCATTCACACATCATTTTATTCTGTCTCTTTGGTGGAACCATGAGATCCAAGGGTGCTGAGGTCTGTGTACTCTCCCCAGGGCCTCTCAGAGTGGCTGGCCCATGGCAGGCAAGACTTTCTGGGCTGGGCCTCCCTCTCCGCAGTGCATAAGGGGGTGAGGTTGACTCCCACTTCCCTAGAGAGGGCCACTCTTCAGCTGGAAGTCTCTTCACGTGCTGACCACCAATTTCTTTCCACAATATTTTAAGAGTAAATTTGTTGTGAACAATAAAACTTACGATAACCACATTATAGCAAATTTGAAAAATGTGGGTCTAGTAATTGCCCTCCACCTTACCACACACATTCACCTCCTCTCAGCACAATTCTTACATGTATGTTTCATGTATTTCTATTTTTTTTTCTGAGTTGGAGTTTCACTCTGTCACCCAGGCTGGAGTGTAGCGGCACACTCACGGCCACACCAGCGTCGACCTACTGGATTTTCCTTGTGCTGTGAACCTGATGGCATAGTTTATACTTGATTCAGAGATTTCTAATGGTTTTATCATGCAAGTTTGCTGTGGCCATTTCAGTTACTAAATTTTAGGGAGCATTTAGCATTCTGACCTGAGGAATTTTGTTATATAATGTGGTTATCGTAAGTTTTTATATAATGTGGTTATCATAAGTTTTATTGTTCACAACAAATTTACTCTTAAAATATTGTGGAAAGAAATTGGTGGTCAGCACGTGAAGAGACTTCCAGCTGAAGAGTGGCCCTCTCTAGGGAAGTGGGGAGTCAACCTCACCCCCTTCTTTGTGTGGTTCAGTCAGGGTATATTGAGTGGTTTTTGTCAGAGTAGAATGTTAGCTCTGCTAGGGACTAACTGAGTTGGTGAACCTCAGAATTTCACAGGGTGCTTCAGAATACTGCTTCTGTGCGAAATCTGAATTTGATGGGTGAGAACTGGGAATGTGCATTTTGACGAGCAGCCTGGTGTTCTGACTCAGCTGGTGGAAGGGCCATAATTTAGGGTTACCATGTGATTGGTAGACCTTGCTAACTTTTTAGAGTTAGTATTAGATTTTCATCATGCTCAGTCTTTTGCCTTCAAAACTAATTGAATCTTGAGATGACTTAGAGCAGGGAGGCAAATACTGCAATCACAATTATGTTCTGCAACAGGAAGTAAGTTCTAAATGAATCTTAACATTTTACTTGACACATTACTATGTTTAAGTGTATTGCAGATGTCACTGAATGGTGCAGGGGAGGAAAATGAACTTGATGTGGTGGGTAGGTGTTCGTGGAACACTTCACCACAGCTGTCTATGCTGATTGACAGCCCACACATTACCTCTCAACAGACAATGTGCTCTGTTGCGTCAGGTTTAAGGGTATGGCATTTTTACTGAATATTTCAAGCTGTTTTAGCTAATAGTATTAATTGTGCACAGACCAACATCCAGCCACTGTTACAAAGTGCTTAATTGGTAGGAAACCAAGTTTCTGGGGACTTTTGCTTATAGTAAAATCAGGTCCCCAGTACCATGTTGCTTAAGTGTTATGTATTCTGAGTGGGGCAAATGTTTAATAGTGCTGAGGAGGAACCTTGCCCATGTTATGGATCCAGATCCCGAAAGGCAGAGGCTTGGAGGTTCAAGGTCACTCAGCCACAGGAGGCAGTTAGAGCTCAGATGCCCCCACCCAACCCGGGCCAAGTTCTCGGCTTTATCCCAAACCCAACCGTCCTTTTTACATGATGTGTATCCCACGAGGGGTCTGGTCTCAAGACTGACAGGGATGCATATTTCTCTTGCAAAGAGGACTGCAGCAAGGAATTTTACTCAATATTTTCTTTTGGAAAACCAAACATGCTTTATTTCAGTTTTTTCACAATTTATTTAAACATCTCACATATACAAAATAGGTACAATTTAATTTTTCTGCTTGCCCAAGAAACAAAGCTTCTATGGAACCATGGAAGAAGATGAAAATGAGACTGGCGGAGAACGAATGCTGAATTTAAAGAAGAGGGCAGCTTTGGGCAAATCATCTGCATACTTTTAATTAGGGGTAAGATGGAAATGACTGATGCTAAATCAAATTTTAAAAAACCCCACACAATGTAACTCACTACAGAGAAGTATTTCTCCTCAAATTCTTCTAGCACCATCAACATTCTTCAAGTATCTGAAATACTATTAATTAGCACCTTTGTATTGTGAACAAAACAAGCACCTCAGTCCATCTCTGTCTAGGTCAGCACCTCGGGCCTCACACTCACAGGAAAGGGTTTTGAGGTAGTTTAAACCTTTGGAAGTTTGGGTTTTAAACTTCCTCCGTGGAAGATATTCAAAAGCCACAAGTGGTGCAAATAGTCATGGTTTTTATTTTATTTTTCAATTTTTATTGTGGTTTTCTTACAAAGGTTGACATTTTCCAAACAGGTGTAAGAGTGTTGAAAAAAGGTTCCAAATCTTTCGGGGAGGGGGAGAGGGAGTTACTTGAACCGTATTGCACAATGCTCTGGTCAATCCTCCTTTTTCTCTTTTGCCCACAATTTAAGCAAGTAGATGTGCAGAAGAAATGGAAGGATCAGCTTTCAGTTAAAAAAGAAGAGGAAGAAACGGCAAAGAGAGAACATTTTTTCAAATTTCGTTCTTTTTTAATTTAGGGCAAGTTCATTTATTTGAAACAGACCGGGCCAATGTCCACTCTGAATTCTTGGTTGGCGTCGCCGATATCCAAGGGTGCGATGTCGAGGAAGGGCAGGCGAGATGGCTTGTTTGTTTTATATTCGATGATTGTCTTTCCCCATTCGTTGGTCTTTTTCTGTTTAAAAAGAGAAGAAAAAGATACATAAAGCAGCACTATTTCTGAATCTGACAACATCTGAACCATAGATGCCATAAGAACCACGCTCTGGTTTGTCTGTTGCTCTGAACACGTGTGTCCCAGGCCGACAAGCTCATGTTTGAAACAGCAGAATCAAGGGTATTTTTAGGGGGCCGGTTCCCTATCGGTGTCAATTTTAAAAACCATTTCAGCACACTTTCCAAGCGACTTATTTCTACCGTGTCATTCTTAAGACTGATGTGTGTATTTGGGTAAGGCGGTATTTGGGAGTAAGGCGGGTATGCAGCGTTACTATCACTGCCTTTCACTCTGTCTTCCATCTGTGACATTGTAGAGAAAGCATTAAGAGTTAATTATAGGGCATACTAACAAATGAAATAAAATACATACAACTATAAATTACAGGTTAGGCCATTTAAACCTCAAGAAAGTTTAAATTCTGGGTGTATAACACCATTCAAGAGACTCAGTTAAAGGAAAAAATGCACCCTAGGCACAGACATAGTAAGCATTTCAGCATTTCAAAAGGCACTGTCAGATGAGCATACTCTGAGCTTACCATCTGAATTAAATAGATACATTATGAAAAAATGTAGTCATGGTCTCTTTTTCTTCTGTGCATTTGAAGGTCCCCCACCCCATCCCACAGTAATGGCATTCCCAGGTTTCACTATTACTTACAGAGCAACCATCTACAAGGACAGTGTAGGTGAACCTGCTGTTGCCCTCGGCAATGAGCTCGACATCATTGGATCCCTGCAGAATGACAGCCTTCTTCAGGTTGCCCGTCTCCTCGTCCAGGTATGCGATGCTATTCTTGCAGTGGTAGGTGACATTCTGAGAGGCATGATTGGCCAGTAGGCGCATGAAGGCAAGCTGGGTGGCCATCTCCTTGGAGCTCACGCCCTCCACGTTATACTCGAACTACAGAAAATAAGATGAAACTCCAGTATGTGGAGACAGACTCAGGCAGCAAAAGCCAAATTAAAAAAAAAAAAAATTGGTACAGGGAGAAACAATAAACACAGACACAAGCCTTAGGAAAAAGGTCCTTTCTAAGAAAGTTCAATTCACTTGTCTGTGAAGCATCAGTTACCTAGACCAACATAGGGCCTACTAGGCTGGGGAAAGTTCATCTAAAAAGGGTATCTGTTTCAGCAAAGCCTCTGTGTACGTTTCTTCTTTAGAATAACAGAGCAGGGAGGTAGACATTCGGACACCCTTCTATTTTTGTAATTTTGTAGGTATTCAGTAAAGTTGGGGAAAGGATTAGGCTAAACGATCAGAGAAGCCAATCACACTCTGCAATGCAAATGTGCGAGTGTGGGTTGTGTGCTAGCCAGTACTACTTCACACTAAATGACATCAATCAGCTTCTCCAATGACTATCAATTAAATCAAACTTGAATAATGACTTTGGACTATATGAATGTATCCAATTAATCCATCTTCTAATGTGTAAGCTAGGATAAAATTGGAACCCAAGAAAAGAGCAGGTTCTTCCAGGAAGCCCCTTTCGGGAAGGGATTCAAATACAGATCATTAACAAACAACATAAAAAAATATGGCTTAGTAGGAGACTATGTAGGATTCCTCACCTGGCTGCCACCATTGATGGTCTCTCCTAACCAGACGTGCTTCTTGACTTTGGCATTCCTGTACCAGTTCTTGGCTGAGACGGTCTCAGGCTGGGCCTGGATGCATGTTTCACCAGTAGAGAAGTCACAGTATACTTTGATGGCATCCATAGTGCATCCTTGGTTAGGGTCGATCCAGTAGTAACCTTTAAAGGAAACAAGACCCAGATTACACAACAGCTTATTCTGCAGAAAACTCTAATAACTGCAAGGCAAAGATATTAACTCCCATGAATACCATTTTTGATTATGCTATTACATTGTCTACCCCACATTTAACAAGAAAAGTGTGGCTATCTTCAAGATTAGATAGTTGTTCTTCTCATCCCTGAGCAGTCAAATCAGGATACGACTACCACAAACAGGGCAAAAGTATGTATTAAGAGGAACACGAGGCTGGGTGCTAGTGGGAAGGGATGCTTCATTAGTTGGGTACCATTTCACATACTGTAACTTTTGCCCCACCACATGTTCACGTTAAATGCCAGTGGAAGCTGATCTCGAGAAGCTCGGTTTGTGTGAAGGGTCAGTCTGGCTTAGATGCCTTGACCTACCACTGCTCCACTCTGGGTGGCTGAGACGCAAGTCACGGCAAGTGCGAGCTGGATTCTTCCTAGAGCCTTCAGGGGTAAGAAGTGTCTCAATCTGGTTGTTGAGAGACTTCAGAGTAGCGTCAACTTCATAATCTTTGGGTCTGAGGGAAGGTGGTGTGCGAGGCTGGTCAGCCCTGTAGAAATCTCCGTCGTAACCGAAGTCATAGCCACCACCACTCACACCAGGAGGCCCAGGAGGTCCAGGTGGGCCGGCAGGACCCTGTGGAGGGGAAGGGAAGAGAGAAGCTTTGTGTTTGGTGGCAGTGAGAGGCATCTGGGCCGCAGGTCTGCAGCTGAGCTTTCCACAAAAGCGTGTTCGAACAGGAAAACAGAATCAGGCCCATGGGAATATATAACTCACTCCCAGGCACATTCGCAGGGATGGGCTTACAAGGCCTACTGCATACAGATATCCTTCAGATATTCTAGGGAATGGACTGAAGTAGGGGCTACTTTAACGTGTTGATATGACTGCCCTGCTTTAGTCTAAAGAAAACATTCCTTAGGTCAGTGGTATTCTTTATTGTTTCTCCAAATCATACTCACAGCGGGACCTTGGTGACCCTGCTGCCCACGAATGCCAGCAGGTCCAACTGTACCGGGGTGTCCACTGCGACCATCTTTTCCAGGAGGGCCTGAGGGACCGGCAGGACCCTGAGGAAGGAGGATACCAGAGCACTGAGCTGGGGAAGCTCAGCAGGGAGCCCACGCCTGCTGCCCACCTAAGCCTCAATCTCAGAGGTGAGGCATCTCTGAGGTTCACCTACCCTAGGACCAGCAGGACCCACAGGGCCAGGAGAGCCTTGATCACCATGTTGACCCTTTAAAGAGAGAACAGAAAAATCATGCTTTCAGAGCACATGTCAAGAGACAGATTTCCTTTTTTCCAATCGAATGGAAAACTTCAGTTTCAACGGACACTGGATTGAAACACTGGGAATGTAAGTGGAGCTCTTTCCTCCATTATGTCTATTATATTCAATTATTTTTCTCACAAGCTATTTTAGCAGCGCAATATTAGTCATTCGTCTAATTACATTTATTTGAAGTGGGGTTGAAGGACATTGTTGCCGGGAGACTTTAATATATGGATATTTCCCTCCCCCTTTGCCTGTACCTTTCCATGTTGAATGGAATGGCATTATCTCCGAAAGGGGGAGGGAGCTGGTGCGATGGGGGCTGCCTGAATGCAGCAAGAAGACCCTGGGGAGCTGCAAGCCGCCAGGTTGCACGCGTGGGGACGACCACACTTTACTCACAGCAAGACCAGGAAGGCCCAGCAAGCCGACGTGTCCCTTCAGGCCAGGGAGACCTCTGGGCCCCTTGTCACCACCTTCACCCTTGTCACCTCGAGCGCCTTGTGCGCCCTGTAAGAAAAGGAAGAATGGATAGGACTTTTTACCTTGTTTGAAAAAATGACAGTCACTTCTCCACAAATATGGCTTAATCTGTCTACAAAGGTGACTCAAGATATGCGAAGGGCTAGCTAGGCTCTTATATCTCCTGTGTTAGCTGAGCTATCTATAAAGTGGTTAGATCCTGATAATTATCCAGTGTAAGCAAGCAGAAAAGATTTATGTTAGATGAGGTTATTGGTATCAAGCCTCATCGTGGACTAAAATGTCTTAACAATAGGAAGTCTAGCTTATGAACTTTTTATTTTCTCAGGGGACACTTGGGGCTGACTCGCCCTGAATGCTGTAAGGAAGCCTTCGCCATATACATACACTAGGACCTCTTGGACCAGCAGCACCGGTGGGACCAACGGAACCAGCAGGACCCTGCAGATGGAGAGACACTCATGAGCCAAGCCTCAGAACCTCATCCCCATCCTGCATGGTCCCCATGCATGGGGAGGCAGAGAGAGGCCCTGAGGGTGATGACACCAAGGACCTGGGATTGACAAACTCACAGGCTCTCCACGGTGTCCATGTTTGCCAGCGGGACCCACAGGGCCGTGAGGACCGGGGGCTCCAGCTGCACCAACGGGACCGATGTTGCCAGGGTAACCACGCTCTCCCTACCAAAGGCAGAGGGAAGTTCAGTCTCGATCTGGTGTCTGTCGTAATCAATTTTGAATGAGTGAGGAATGAAAACGTCACTGACCTTGTGTCCAGGTAAACCATCACGACCTGGGGCACCGTCATTCCCAGGGTTACCCTGTAAAGACACCATGGCTCTTGGTGGGGCGTTGCTACCAGCAGCCCCTACGTTTTGGCTACTCTGCCTTACCATTTCTAGTGCTCAGTAGTGAGCCCTCTTTTTTTTTTTGGGTTGGGGATCTCACTCTGTCACCCAGACTGGAGGGGAGCAGCACAATCATGGCTCACTGACGCCTCGCCTTCCTAGGCTCAGGTGATCCTTCCGGCTCAGCCTCTAGAGTAGCTGGGACTACAGGTGCCACCAAGCCTGGCTACTTTTTTCATTTTTTGTAGAGATGGGGGTCTATGTGGCCGAGGCTGGTCTTGAACTCCTGGGCTCAAGAGATCCTTTCGCTTTGGCCTCCCTAAGTCTGGGATTACAGGCGTGAACTGCCAAACCCTCTTTCAGACTGTTAAAAACTGGGAACAAGAACCTGTCCACCTAGATATTTTTTAGAGGAGTTTTTAATATTTGGGCCTGATTTTGAAATGTGCTAGTGAAAAGCCTGCTCCTTAGCCTATACACATCCCATATTTTCAATACTAGGTGTAGACATTATGGGCCAACAGACCATCTTGCTCAGAAACTTGGGGCAAGAGCATCTCAGCTCAGGACACAAACACACAAGGTGAAATCCTACTTGTTTCTATGTCACAAACCCAGGGTTGGACTCACATCACGACCAGCTTCCCCAGGGGCACCGTTGACTCCAGGACTTCCCACAGCACCAGGGGGACCACGAGCCCCAGGGGGACCAGAGATGCCAAGAGGACCAGGTTCACCCTAAAGAGGCAGAGAAGACAAAGCAACACTCTCTCACTGGATGGAAGGCTGGTCTCACCCTCCAAAGTCAACCCTGGTCAGGAAAGAAGGTACACAGAATGTGAGTGGGCTACAAAATGGTGAGAAGTTCTACCAGTGTTATCCTCACCCCCCCAAGAGGGTCAGCACTACATAATGATGGGAGAGAGAGCCTGCTTTTAGCTAGTGGTCCGGATGAAATGAATTCATAAAGATGACAGAGTTTATGGAGATGAGACGGCTCCTAGGTGCTGTCATGTAAGAGGCTTAATGGAATGATTCAGAACTTCCAGAGTTCCATCCTTCCTACATGGTCGGTGATGCTAGTGTTTCATATTGCAGAGGAGTAAATGCAATTAGAGCTTATGTCGTTCTCAAGTGTGTAGAAAGAACAAAAGTCATTCTGCATAATGTTAGGCTGTGTCTTTACAGTATGTGTCTAAGTAAGGTGGTATTAAGTCTTCGGAGATAAGTGACATGTGATCTGTACAAAGAAAATGCCATGAATAAAAGTCTTAAGTGGAGTTATTCAGTGATCAATCTGTCACATTTGAAGAGGCACTTTTACACTCTTTTATGATGTTAATGGAAATCAGAATGGTGTCAAACACTCACCAGAGCACCGGCAACACCGGGCAGACCACGTTCACCTCTGGAGCCAGGGAGACCCAAGATACCAGGAGCGCCAAGAAGACCCTGAGGACCTGGGGTGCCAGGAGGTCCCTAAACAAGAGAACAAACACTGAGTATCACAGCGGAGACCCTGGTGATAACACTAGTTGGCTTGAGGATTGTGGGAATGAACTGTCCTCAGCTCAGAAAAAGGCCAGCAATCTCCCTCTCGTAGGACACATCCTTAGTTATCTTTTCTCTAGTGATGACAGTGAGTTCACATCTTGGCATGTGTCCATTCTTGTACCTGGTTTGTCCTTGAGACAAATGGTACAACATTCACAAATATGCTGTTGGGGTTAATAAAGCCACTTGAGGGTAGTGGAATAGAGTTTTTACAGAATCTATGCAGAGAGGCACATTAAAAAAATTTTAAAATTATTATGAATACACGATAGTTGTGCATAGCATAGAGATTCCTCAAAAAGCTAAAGATAGGTCTGCCATATGAACCAGCAACCCCGCTGCTGGGTGTGCATCCAAAGAAGGGAAATCCGTGTATCGAAGGAGACACATTTTGACTTTGGCCTCCAAGGTCTAATAAAGGCGCCTTTCAGGGTAGCACAGATGCCGAGTTTGAGGAATCAGTAGCTTATTGAGATGGATCCATGTGCAGGAAGATGGCCGCAGCAATGGGATTCTATCCCAGTCCTGGTACCAGCACGGTGTCCCCACAGTCTCAAGGGCCATTGTGGCCAACGTGCCTGTCAGGTGCTCTGCGCCTCTGCAGAAGCCGCAGTACCTCTGTGTGTGTGTGGGACAAAGTTCTTGGCTCAACTAGGTTCTACCTGAGAGCCTGCAATACTCATCAAGAGATACACAGCAGGTGGAGACTTTTGCAGGGGCATTGTTTTGACTCAGCGTAAAGTCTTAAGAAAGAGAATCTTGAAGTCACTTACAGCAGTACCAGCCTCTCCAGAGGGACCTTTCTCTCCAGCAAAGCCAGGGGGGCCGGATGCACCAGTTTCTCCAGTTCGGCCAACTGGACCCTGGTCACCACGAGGACCACGGAGCCCTTCTTTTCCAGCAGGACCAGGGGGACCAGGAGGGCCAGAAATACCCTATGGACAAATGAACAAGGTTACTTACTTTCTGTCAATCATCTGGGACCTGGAAAAGGGCAGCAGAGATTAAAAGGCAAACAGCTTGATGCCACAAAACCATCTCCTGGGGGACGTGTTTGGAGTTTTTCACACTCTTGTGGAAAGAAGCAACTCCTGTCTTCTTTCTCCTGAGGCTGTGACTAAGCAAAGAGTAGAGGCAGAGTCTATGACATATTTCCGTGAGGAAGAACAACATTGGGGCCCGGTACCCAGCATGTTGGAATCAGAACTGTGTAGAGTTATGAACTAGTCATCAACACACGAGACTTTGGGTTTTGGAGGACTCTGCCACTTTTTTTTTTTTAAAGAAAGCCAATACTGGCATTTTGTTCATAATTGAGGAATCACAGATGCTTCCCTATGAGGTTTAATTAAAAGCCCACAGGGGATGAGGATTTTTCTGTTATGAACCTGTAGAAGGATTCCAAGAAATCAACATCTTTGCTAGTTTTTTTCCTTGAAACCTTAACTGGAAGACTTAATCCTTGGTAATTAATTGAATTCTCTTGAGTCCTGACAAGAGAGTCTGAATCAGAATTAAATTAGAGGCCAAACCACCTTTAAATTCAAGAACAATTATACCTTAACCGCAGAGGCAGAATGTTAACCATAAAGAGTAATTAGATATATAAATATCTGATATGTGACCAAACGGTTCTGCTTTTTATTTTTAACAAACAAACAGACCATGTCCCTAAGTGGAGGATGGTTTTTGCATGAATAAAAGCCTCTTACAATGATATTATAAAACATAATTTGTGATAGTTTTGCCTTAATGGTTTAGAAAAACTGATTTAAGACCTGAAAGTGATAGTGAATATTAGTGATGTGTTTTCCTAAAGACTTTCACAAAACTCTTGAAGGGAGTTGACCCGTTTCCTGCCAGGGGCCAGGCCTTTAGGTAGCATAACTGATGACTTGTGTTTGGAGTGATTTACTTACAGAGGGTCCCGGGGGACCAGTCCGGCCACCAGCACCAGGGAATCCAGTCATACCCTAAGAACCAAGCACATTATAGTTCCACAGTCAGCACCAACTACAAGCATTTGGGTAAGATGGGAATTTCAGTACACATGACCAGGGACACACCAGGGAGTAGGAAGTGGGCAGCTTTATAAGGGGACAATCAGGCAGGGCCCTGGAGGCCTTCCCTCTTCACGCATCTTCCCTCCCAGCATGCTCCAATTGCAATGTCTGTGTTCTGTGTGAAGGCTTTGATGGTCCATTTTGAAACGCTAATGGTTGTCAGGCAAGACAAGACACTGTGTCGTTTGTGTCTGGCATGAATGTGTGTCTCCACCACCTGGCTGGGTTCTAGGGGACTGGGAACTAATAAGGAATGGTGTCTGCAGAAAAAGGCACAACAGACAGCCCAGCAGAATGACAGCACTGGCTGCAAAGGGAAGGGCATGGCTGGGCAGAAGGGGGCATCTACACAGGGATAAAGGCACCAAGGAGGCATTTTCCCCACTTCACTGTTACACTGCCCAGGTTCACCTTAGTTATCTTAAGTGAGGCAGTAGCACTGTGCACGACACTGAGTTCCAGTTGGGTGTAAGTAAATACCAATATCAGAATTGCTCTGAAGAGAATGAACTTGAACCTCAGGAATTTCCTCATGACAGTCCAAACTTACCAAAAATGTCAGAGCTTTCAAATTGTCCCTAATAGAATCTGAAGGAGAAGCGGTCAGAGCCCATGGTAGATACTCACAGGGGGACCTCCATCACCGCGACCTCCAGCAGGACCAGGGGGGCCATTTGGACCCTAAACCGAAACAAAAAGGTGGGATCTCATGACAAACCAACCCTTGTACATGTTACTCTTTTCTTCAAGGGGTTATTCCCAATCTCTTAGAAAAAGATTCAGAAATCAAAATGATTGCCTGAGTCATGTGAACTTATGTTCTTACATCAATATCACCACCCTTATGGGGTTATCAGGAATTAAAACAAGACAATATTTATGAAGCTTGGACACACTGTTAAGTGTCATCTCTTCCTTTAGTTTTCTGTCATCTTCTATCTCAGATACTCCCTGGTAGAGAGCAGGCACTAGGCTAAACTGCATTTAGTTCCAACCCATGGGCGACACACAGGTGTGTCTACCACCCGAGAACTCAACTTACAGATGGGCCAGCAGCTCCGACGGGGCCAGTGGGGCCCACAGCCCCATTCTCGCCCTTGGGCCCCTTGGCACCGCGCTCTCCTTTGGCACCAGGCTGCCCAGCAGCACCCTGTGAGGAGGAAACCACTGTGGTTTTGGTATTCCGATTACTCCCCTCCCCGGCTTGGAATGCCTCCAGATCAGCCTCAGAAGGATACTCACAGCAGGACCAGCAAATCCGTTGGGACCGGCAGGACCCACCTCACCACGCTCACCCTGGAGGAAGAAGGGGTTTAAGTGGGGTGCAATGTTGGGTCTGTGGACATCTACCCATGGTGATGCGTGTCAGAGCACCCAGGTTGCTACTTACAGGGCTGCCCCGGGGACCAGCAGGACCGGCAGGACCAGCAGCACCAGCCTCACCCTGCAACGGGACCAACGAGGAGTCAGCTCTCTGCCTCACTTACACTCGGAGTGGGAGAGGAGTGGTGGACAGCAGGGGCCACAGTCACCAAGGGAGACACACTTACACATATCTCACAGAATGGGGCATACCCTATTCCATGCTGCATTCATTTCGGGGTACAGGATCTTGGTTGTACAGTTGCAACAGCACTACAAGTCAGTGCCCACAACACCAGGAGGAGGACATTCTAACTCTTAGGTGGACACATGGTTGCTCTATCTGCTGCCATCTTTGCAATGCAATAAACAAGATCTATTTTAAGTGGACTATCTAATGTGAAATGGGCGCACTATGTATTTTGATTTTTTTTTAACAGCCGAAGGTTTTGGGAAGGTTCAGTGCATTCAGATATTGTGCATTCAGTGCAGGGGAAGACTTTACAACTGATGAGGACCAGAATGTAGAGCAGAGAGTTAGAATGGCCACAGGAAGGACAACTTAAAGTTAAACTCACGGCATTTGTTTCCTGCTACATTGTCCCCACAGCTAGGTTTTCAAATAAGTAGGTTTTATATCGAATCATAAAAATGCATCGCGGGGCTCTCTGGGACAAGGGCAGGCAGGAAGCTGTGGCTGCTGCCACGGTTCAGTGCAAAGGCATGGCTTACCCGGTCACCTGAGGCTCCAGCAGGACCAGGGGCACCCATAGCACCAGGAGCACCCTAGGACGAAAAGGGAAACATGTCTGATTAACACCACTTATGCCATCGGCAGGGATCCTTGTTGCTCCTTGCCTACACAGTGACTGAGTGCTTTTACTGCGGGCTCTGGTTGGAGAACAGATGCGCTTCCGTTCTCATGATCAAGACCACCAGAGACCACTCTCAGGAGGAGAGTGCCCCAGGAGTACAGGCTCTGGAAATGTGTAAGTCAAGGGCAAGTTCGAAATGTGGGAGACTTTAGTGCTCTGCTCTTGTGACCTTCCCTGGAGAACAAAGAGGAGTGGCCTTGTTTGAACCTATTATAACTGTGTGACTCAGAGGAAGGACTATTACAAGTGTGCTGCAGCAAATCAGCTCCCAGGGAGAGTGAGAAAAGCCCTGGTACCAGCTGTGGCCTGGAAGAGGCAGGACCTGACACCTGTAGGGTGATGCCACTTTCAAGGCGTTGTCTCTGGCATCTTCCTGGTGTCCATAGCGACTCCTTGGACTGCTCTTTGAGTGACATATTTCTAGGACATACATTGGAATAGCGAACTACAGGACCTAGTCAGAGGGTCTGGCTTCTTACAATATAAGAAAATGATTGCTGGTTCTTTAAAGCCCTCTTACCACTTAAAACCACCATTTAATGTCTTGCTAACCCTAGAGGCTTGGGTCTTCAGTGTGTGGTTGGTATAGGTAACACCAGGGAAGGCAGAACATTCAGGAGAGGATTTTCAAAGGGTAAGTCTTATTCCATTTTTTTTCTGGAACATGTACAATGATATTATTAGTCATAGATCCAGAAAGGAATGAAATGCTATTTTATTAAGGTTGAATTCTTTTTTAATAGTTCTAGTTTGGAAAACTTCTCTATTCAAGTGAAGTTAAATGTTGAAAAAGAAAATCTAAATAGTCCAAACAAATATACAAACAAAATTCTACTTACACGAGCACCATCTCTGCCAGGGTTACCAATTTCGCCTCTGAGACCAGGTTCACCCTGAAAGTATAAAGCAAGAGCAATTTTTTTTGTTTTTTGACATGTTTAAATCAAAATTAATAATAGCTTTTTTTAATATATAGGTATCATACCTTCAAGATTTTTAGTAATGTCTCAATTCCTTACCATTCTATAGGATGTTAGTAGAGGGAAAAATAAAAATAAATAATTCAAGTTCTTTCCAGATGATTATTGAATATTCTTATCTAATTTCTGTACACCCTCCTGAAGTACAATCAAGGTACAAATTCATGTGGATGGAATTACAAGGCAACATCACAATGGGCTTCTGAGCCCAGTCACTCTTTCGGCATAACTAACACAGCAGCACGGGTGACAGCTGTTCAGTATGGCTTCTTCCCATTAATTAGGGCGGGATGAAGCATTATTGTTAGTGGCATTAAAATGAGCCTCATGTATTACTCAACACCATCTGCTTGTGTGAAAGTCCATGGCAGCAGGGAATTTTGCCAGATTAGTGAGTGCAGAAATGTGTAGGTGCTAGGTGGCAGGGGGATGTGTGTGGACAGAGATCAGAATGCTACCAGACCACCGGCCTGGAACCGTAAGCTCCGGCTAGGGTTCTCCAACAATACATCAAGGCCTAGGGCTGACAGTTACCTTTTCTCCCTTGCCTCCAGGTATGCCACCAGCACCCCTCTCTCCTGGGAGGCCGCCAGGACCAGATGCTCCAGCAGTGCCCGGAGCGCCGACTGCACCAGGCTCGCCCTGGAATCAAACACATGTGACATCAGTTATTTCAACAGAGCAAGAAGAGTGAAGAAGCAAGCTCTTGAAGTATTCCAGCTTAAACATGAAAACAGCATTCCTGACGGCTTAGAAACACAAATAAGGGTATTGAAAGAGGGGCAACACCCCAGAGAGGGTGCCACAGTCAGGGATGACTGGAGATCCCGGGGAGTGAGAGTTGGGTTCCCCGCAGCTCACTCCAACATGCCTCAGAAAAGCGTGGAGAAGCGGTTGGCACAATGGAAGGGATGGAAGTGCTGACCACAGACTAGCTTCAAGGATGAGTCTCTGAGCACAGACGGGAATAAGAGGTCTCATCCACAGAAAGACACTCACGTTTCAATCTCAATAGCGGAGACTTTCGCCTCCATTTCTATATAAAACCCTTGCAATTGCATGTCCTTAAAACCTGTGGACCAGTTTCTGAGACAAACGGAGCCCTCTGACAGTCCTTCCCCATGGAATCACATTGTCTTTATCTCCCCTCTTCCTCTTGCCTTGTGTACATCTTTTCCCTGAGAATATCCTTCCAAAGACTAAAATAGCTATTTACAACTAAGCTTTACTCTTTTTCTTTAATGTGAAGAGTCAGATGTGAGTTGCCCTCTTTCTTATTGCGGTTAAAGTAATTGGTTTTTCAGAGGCGGGTAACTCCATCTATTTTAAAATTTCCCATCCAAGTGCTAACCAGGTCCCTCCCACTTAGCTTTTGAGATCAGAGGAGATCGGGCACCTCCAAGGTGGATGGCCCAAGGCTATTTCAAAATCTCAACCACAGATTCTCTTTTGGAGCACAAGTTTTCAGACTCATATATTTTTGGGGTGAATGTAATATCCAGTCAATTTTCATCATCATAAATTATCTTATAAATTGAGACTACTTTTTGAAAGTTTACTCAATGGGGTGAGATGTTGAGAAGGTAAAAGTTTGTCCTTTAAAAATAAGGTTGAAATGTAAATGACGTTTCTAGATTAAAACAAAAGCAAAAATCACGTGACAAGAAAAGGGTGAGAACCCATACTAATTCATGTTTGTGAGACAGTGAAATCTCCCCCACAATTTTTCAGTTTGTTTTAAATAATTCAGGTCCACTGGAATCAGATTGCTGTTTACTGAGGGGGAATCATCAGAGAATTGGAAGTAAATAAAAATATAAAAACAATTTCTCTTCTAGTATGAAGGGTCTGTTCATCTTGGGTTAGACTGGGCAAACCGGCATACTAAAACATAAGGCTTTACCTTGTTTCCATCAGGCCCAGGGGGTCCAGATGGACCTCGGCTGCCAATGGGACCAGAAGGACCAGCGCCACCGCTCTCACCTGGAGGGCCACGTTCCCCCTATGAAAATGATTAGAAGTGTCACACCACTCGTTCCTTCAGAAATGCTGCTTTACACACCAAGTTCACACCTGTTCAGCTTTTGGGCCCTGGCTCGATCATTTGTCAGCAAGGTAACATTTCTTTTGTTTTCAATTTCTTCATGAGTAAAATTAGACAGGATGAGTTAATCTCTAAAGACTCATCCAGCTCTAATATTTTGCGTCTACATCTCTAAAATCTGCTCTTCTGCATGTAACATTCAACCTTTGGGATTCATGTCTCCCTCATTTTGGGGGTTGTTTCTGTGATAATACGATAGGTAAAAACAGATGCCGGCTGTGCACAGTATTCAAAAGAAAAGATTGTGTTGTTTTAGTTGAATAGCAATGCCAGGTGTAGGTAAGAGTGGATGCTCCTATCCTATGTCCCCTTTTATAAATGCATGTAATAATGGCGTAACAGTGATAATATATAATAGAGGATTATTTATGCATATGTGTGTCATTGTGTTTATATATATATCTGTGTCTATCTCTAAATATCTCTCAATCTACATCTAACTATCACTACAATGTATCATTCTATGGCCCAGAATATTTATCACATACATTTGCAACTGCCTCAAAGGGCCTTACTATAACTTGGTTCTGTGGCACTGTGGTTTTTTGACACTAACTTTGTTTGGACTTCCTAGATAATATGGAAAGTATCTGGCAACATAATGAAATACTTTATGAGCAAATGAACCGTTTCAGTGATGCTAACACCCAGAAACAAACTTAAATGCATTTATTTGTTTTTCTTTGTAAGATTAGACTCATGAGTTCTGTTTTAGACTTTGTACATCAACACACATTGCAAAAGTCAGCTTTAAATCTCAGTTAAGATGTCACTTTTCCTTGGCTCAAGTTGAAACACTGTCCTAAGGACAGAAGACTTCTCTATATAAATTACTGACTACAATACACACATTCATTTATTTGTGTTTCTTATGGAATTATTGAACAGAAAATAGAAACAACCAAACAAGAAAGTCTACGATCCATTTAGCAATCAAATGCCTTCTACAGACTACACTGGACTATGGAAGAGCACCAGGAACTTATTTGCAGGGTCATCATTGCAAGACTGCTTTCGGGGAAGCAGTCTTTCTTTTAAAAATACATTGGCCAGCATTTCTAAAAGTGAGTTAATCGACACTTACTCTTGGACCAGCGGGACCGGGGAGACCAAATTCGCCAGGGAGTCCCTAGGCAAAATATGAGAATAAGTGAGGCATGGCATTCATGCATGATCTGTACATTCACTTATGATTAAGATTCTGGAGTGAGATACTGCTGGTTCTACCTACACAAGCACACAGGCTAAATAGGACACATGACTTTCATATGAGAAGATACAGAAAGAGAGAATTCCACTAGTATCACTGATGTCTCTAACCTGGAGTCTGGTATCAAAAGACGTGTTACCATTATTGAGTTTATGGCTTTTAAAAAAGGGACAAAACAGACCATCTCCCTTGAGAATGTGATAAATAACAATGAACAACATCAGCTATGGCCTATTTTTAGCTGTATGACAGACTGCCTTCTTAATGGAAATTATCATATTCTGTATATTACCTAGTTAATTGTACACCCAAGTGTATCTCTTTTATTACTGACCAGCTGTCTCCTTGCTGTGCCCCACTGTTGACAAAGGAGACCAGGCCACAGAATGGAACTAAATTGAGGCACATTCATCACAATTACAGAGAAAATGACTCAGAACTCATGCTCCGATTGTGGATAGCAGTGTCATGTCTGAATGCCAAGAACAACATTAAAAGCAATTTTTCAGGATCTAGTTTGATGGAAAATCAGTGCATTTAATTTTTTGCTATGGGGAAGGAAATAATTTGTATTTTAACATTACCAAGAACAATACAAAAAGTCAGGCTATTAAATGAAGTGTTCATTGATAGGTTTTGCTCATAATGCCGTGTTTTGTTAAATCCATGCAACAAAATCATTTGAACTAAAGTTCAACTAATAAGCTTGTCTCCATCTGCCCAAACATGAAGAACACCAATGTGCACATACAAAATTTCCTTTTGCAAATAATAATTTGCACTGCAATAGGGGACTAAGCAGGAGGGCACTGTCAAGTTTAGGGGAATGGACGGCTACTCATCCTCACCCTTTCTCCTGGTTTCCCGGCTTCACCAGCTGTACCTGCAGGGCCAGGCAGACCCTAAGTGAAAGGAAACACAAATCACAATCCCTTGGCTGTGTTCAGGAGACCTGTGCACAGCTGGGCATGGGGGTGGGGACTTCCAAACACCAATGCACATGAATATATGTTATCAGAGCATCACACAGAAGTTTGTTTTGGGAAAAAATCTTTCTTTGCTTCCACTCTGAAATCCTGCTCTCTGTGATGGGGGTGGTGAACAGTCTGGACTGAGGCAGCACCGTGCCTGCATAAGCCAACTTACTTGGAAGCCTGGAGGACCAGCGGGACCCTGTTCACCTTTGCCGCCTTGGACACCCTGTAAGTGACAGAGGAGACAGCATGAATGGTGACGTGTGCCACCACGTTGCCTTGCTGTGTGATGTCTGGAGATGGTCATCTCTAGGAATGAAACGAATTCTAGTGCAGAAAGCCTGGGAGTGGAGACATGCTCACCTGTGGTCCGGGGGGTCCCTGAGCACCGTTGTTCCCATCAGGACCGGGAGCACCCTGAGAATGTTTAACAGAAAGGTTAATGGTTGCCTGAAAGCCAGGTAGTTTAAGATGCCCCAAAGTCTTATGCATTACTCCCTTAGAACAAGCAGTCATTGTAGTAAGAATTAAACTCACTGTGGTTCCTCCAAAGTCCCACTACTGCCTGCCAACTTTAGATGTGGGTCAGGGAAGCCCACAGAGGACAGGCAATTTACAAAGGCCAGGGCTGCTGCTGCTTGTTTATTCCCTTTCAATCACAAGGTAAAAGAAATACAAGCCAAGTGCAGCATCTTTAAGAATTTTTGACTTAGCACATATTCTGATTTGTTGTTGATTACTGCCTTGTAAGTTTCAGTAAAGGAAAAAAGATATTTTATGATGATAAAAGGACCCTTGGGGATGCCATCTTAGAAAGAAAGTGACAGAATGACATCAGATGGCCTGAAAAACTTGGGTCTCCTGAGTGAATCCTGTGTGAACAGCCCGTAAGGAAGTCATCACCTACCCGAGCTCCAGCAAGACCAGGATGTCCTCTGTCACCGCCTTTGCCAGGTTCGCCCTAGAATAAACATTAAAAACAAAACAAAAAACAGCTTGACACATTGAGTGATTTTTAAACGTTGATTTTTAGCTTGCTTTTGTGTTTTTGAGACTGTGTCATCTAAGGTGGAACCATCACCATGTGGATCCAGGCACAATGAGGAGCCTATGTCTGCTGAGGCTGGCCTTGGGAGGGGAATTTCAGGAGGTGTGCAAAGATGCACTGGGGTATACTTTTCACATGGCAAAGGGTCTGCCATTCTCCTGTGTGGATGGGGCCCAGGAGGCCTCCCGCACTGAAGGTGGGAGGGAAACATGGGGGCTTGGTGAACTACGGTCAGCAAGCGTGGAGGCAGGGAGGGCATGGTGACTTACGGTGGGGCCTTTGGGTCCTGGGAATCCAATGTTGCCCGGCTCTCCTCTGGCTCCAGCTGGGCCAATGGCTCCAGGCCTGCCGTCGATCCCCGGGAGTCCCTGAAAACACAGTCGATTCAATGTGGACTCGGAACAGCGTCCCACAACATCATGATCACAACGTGGCCGCAGAAGGAAAGAGAAGGTTCTTCCACAGGCATAGAGCTTCTTGTAGAAGGATCCAGTGAATCTGTGCTCCCTTCTGAGCAGGCCATACATGTGCCCAGGCAGCTGCGGTACCCACGCACCAGGGTCCCCCACGCAACCGGCTCTCCACTCACACCCACGCACTCCGTCTCTTCTTCCCTGCCACGGTTCTCTCTTCCCAGCCCTGCTCCAAGCCACGCACTCATCTGGACTCTGTTATTACAACCTATTGCTTTGTGTTCCCAGGTGCTATGTGTGTCTGATAGTTACTTTCAATGTCTCCTTGTATAAGTCAGCCACAAAATACAGTTGCCAAGAGTGCAGCAAGTGTCCTTGAGAGCACGATGACCATGAGGGATCCTTACCATGGGACCTTCTTTTCCAGTGGGGCCGACATTGCCGGGGGAACCAGGAAGACCCTAGAAATGTTAAGGTTTAAATTAATTGAAATCTCACAAAATCACCCTCCCGCTGTTTGACGCCATGGGTAAACAGTGAGGAGGGTAAACCACTAGCTGGGAGATATGAAAAGAGTTTGAGCATTTTTCTTCTTTCCAGGTTTTTGTGCTTTTCCTTTGATTGAATTTTTGTGCAACTGGTCCATTTATGGATATCTCAAGAAACTGCCCAGCAACATGCGACATGGGCAAAATGCACCTTGCTATTTGCCACATAATAGAAAAACTAATACTTTTAGTAAGCAATTTCCAAAGTAGGTTTTTTTATTGCTATGTTTGGTGTCCTTGTTAGTTGTTTATGACACAATTACAGTTGATATTCACCCATAAGAGATAATGGAGACAAAAAAATTACTCTATTGCTATGGATTAGAGCATCCACGGATTTAAAGGTTACTTCTCCATAGCTAGTGTGATGCAGAATAAATTACAGCACTTTGTGGTCGCTGGAAAATGATTTCACTGACGAATCTAATAAACTAATAATGTATGGTCCTAATACATTTCATGAACACCTTATATAAAACTCACAAATTAAGATAAAAGATTCATGCTGATAGGAGAGCCAACCTAATTTGGATATATTAAAATAGATCTATTCTTCCAAAAACCTCACAGCTATTGTATCAAATAATAAATAGGAAATGTATGATTAAATACACACAAATATCTACTGAGCTTTGATAAAGCTAAACGTAAGAGGCAATCATCAGCAAGTCTACTAACAAATATACTTTTGATGATTTTATTGTTACTTTTAATATTAGCCAAGTCTTGAAAGAAGAAAACAGTGCCAGACTCGCCCAGAATACACCAGCAACTTACTCGAGGTCCCATGAGGCCAGGTTCCCCAGGGCGACCAGAATCTCCATTAGGGCCTCGGACTCCAGCAGGGCCAGTTGCACCACGGTTACCAGGAAGACCCTGTTAGAAAGAAGGGATGGGGGAGGAGGATTCTGAAGCTAGTGATACCACTAGGAGCAGCAAGTCCCTTCCCTGGGCAGGAGAAGCAGGCCACTCACCATTCCTCCAGCTCTGCCATCGGCACCAGGAAGCCCACGAGAACCAGGACTGCCCTGCAAGATGGTGTATGAAACAGGGCATGAGAGAAAGCCCCTACATCTGACCAGGCAGAATCTATTGCAACACAGACTAACCGCCCCCCCAAGGGGGGCACAGACACAAACCAAGCCCAAGCGCTTCACCCAAACCCCCGTGGATCTCGTGCATGAGCACCCTGCAAGAACGGGTCAGCTTTGTTTCCAGACCAACTTGGTAACACCACAAACTGGGAGTCACTGATTCAGCAAAGCAGACGGAATGTGAATGCTCCTTTGGTCTAGAAGCACACACCCCATGGGGTAGGGGGGGCATCTCTGTCTCTAGTATGTCTGGGTGTGGGAAGCATATGTAACCTACCCTCAGTCCAGGAGGTCCCGTGGGGCCAGCGGATCCAGATTCACCATTGGGTCCTCTCTTTCCTTCTTCACCACTGGGACCAGGAGAGCCTTGGGCTCCGGCTGAGCCCTGTGGGATAAGGACAGAAGTGGGGGAGTGGAAACACAGTCTCCTTTTATGCCTCACTAGAGAAACCCAGCTGAGAAGAGTGGATGACAAGCTACTTACAGGCTCACCCTTGCTGCCGGTCTCTCCTTTGGTGCCAGCTGGGCCAGGCTCACCCTAGGATGCAACACAAAACAGTGGGCATACACTTGTCAAAACTCTCTTCTATGGAATAGTTATGGGACAGGTAAAGAGAAGCTTCAGGTCTTGAGGAAATGTTCGTACTTAAATGGCCTACAGGAGATGGCCTTGCTGAGAAAACAACATAGGACTTGTAGAACTCTGCCCCCCATTTACCTGCAGGCAGAGCTTTGAGAACACGAGGGTGTCTGTGCATGGGAAGAGAGGGAGTGTGCATAAATACACAAAAACCTGATACAGACCAAAATACAGACCAAAGATGCCAAGGGAGGGAAAGATAAGAGTAGGGAAACTACAGGAGGGAGCCGGCATCTGCTGAGGTGATGGCCAAGCTGGCGCTTGAAGACATGAGCACCCTCGCCACGACCACTTACAACAAGTCCTCGGGCACCAGTAGCACCAGTAGCGCCGACGGGACCAGGAATACCACGGGGTCCAGGGAGGCCGGGAGCCCCAGCAACACCAGGAAGGCCCTGCAAGGGAAGAAGTGCAGGTCACTGGGAGATGCAAGGCTGGAGGCACTACTTGCTAGCACCCTGAAAGCCCAGCAGTGTGGTCAGCTTCTGAGGATACTCACAGCAGCGCCCTTGGCTCCAGTGAGACCATTGGCCCCAGGGTTCCCCTACAACAAGGAGAGGAGAGGACATGGTGAAGCGAAGTATTTATCTTCTTCTTTGAGCCCACCTTCATCTCTCTTCTCCTTTTTTTCTGTTTGACAATGGCGACTTACAGGAGGTCCAACAGGGCCAGACAGGCCTGGAAGACCCACTTCACCACGAGGACCCGCGGGACCAGAAGGACCAGGGTTACCAACACCGCCGAGTTCACCCTGAAAGAAGAAGTTGAGCCCAGAAATGAGCCAGTCAAGAAGGAAGCAGCAGGGCCCCGCTGTTAAGACACCAGACTTTAAGACATGTCTTCAGAACTGTAACCTTAAGTGGCTCATCACATCAGGATTTGGGTTTGGCATCCTGCTTTCCCTGCCTGTCTGGCCAAGACTGCTGCCTTCCTCTCCCTCTGCCTCTGGGTGGTGCACACAGGCTCTAGGTTGGTCCTGACCAGCTTGGGACCGTGTCTCACAGGGGTCATGGGATCAACCTCCTTGTGGCCATCTACCTTCAGGATCCCAGTATGCAGTGCAGAGATGACCCAACTCAGAAATGGAGGGAGAGAACGGGTCACTCCATGTCTGCTTGGGAGGAAGGCACTAAGTAAGGGGCTGTTCTGTCACTCTATCTGCAAACACGGTTCTCGCCTTTCATGTCATAGTACAAGGTTTATCAAGGTAGTGACAACTGTCATCCCCATTTTTACCTTGGGACCAGGGGCTCCTGGGAAGCCGGGGGGGCCAGCAGACCCAATGGGACCCTGAAAAAAAGCAGAAGGCGGTTACATTTCCTCCAAGTGAGTTAAGAAACCAACAACAACAAAAACAGCAGAAGCCTGATGTTGCTAAATCTCACTTGATATTGACAAGAGAAACCTGACGGCCAGTCTGTGGTCATTAAGATCTTATCAGAGGGAAGACATTTACAGTATCTAGGGTAGGGTAGATTTTACTTAAAGCACCAATCAAAAGCCCAGATGCTTATAAACAGCTTATACTACTTATAAATGGAGTCTTCAGAAGTCCTCACAGCACCCTTGGCAAAGCATATGATATGATGTTATTTTGTAAGAAATTAATGAAGAAGGCAGCTCCCACCCCAAACTCCAGATCCCTCCCAAATTCCTCAGTGTTACAACTTACAGCAGGACCCACGGGCCCCACGCTTCCGTCACTGCCTCGGGCACCCTAGGGAGAAAACAGAAAGAAAGATCAGGTGGAAGGTAAGTGACAGTCATGAGGTTTTAAAAAGGATAAAAATGAGCGGAAATGGAAGCACTTACACCTGGTCCTGGGGCACCGACACGTCCTCTCTCGCCAGGAAGTCCACGGGCTCCCTGGAGGCAAAAACATTCTCAGTTAAATCCAGAATGTGAGTTTTAAAAAGTCACAGGCAGCATTTGCTTTGTCCAATTCCCAACATATCCAAGAATCCACTAAAAATAGATAGTTATTGTTCTAACTCCAAATAAAAGGTAGTGGATTTCAACGAAATGTGCAGAAGACTGTTAGAAAAATACCAAAGGCCACAATGCCAAGGGGAATGATAATTAGTGGAAACGTGAAGGAAGAGCCAGCTTGCAGAAGGCGCATGTCCACTGGCAATAATCACACTTACCGTTTGACCTGGGGTTCCATTTTCACCAGGGGCACCGGGCTCACCCTACATGGAGAAGAAAAGGAGTTTTTGTTTATTCTGCACATTGATTAATTTTTCTGAGAGTGCAATCTTTACCCTGTTATTTCAATTTGAGCCATTCATATATTTCGCAACATTTTTTACACATATAAATTGTTTCTCAATTATGCCAGGCACATACATTTAAACATTTGCTAAAATATTGAGTTTTTAATTGATAGACCCAAATCTCAAGGTCCCAAGGAGATGGGCTGAGCACACCTCCTCTTCAGTTTCCCCTGGGATTCTGGGTATCATTTATGTATTAGAAATGACATCATAGAAAGAGATGGCAAAGAATACATTTCCTTCCAGTATAACCATATTTGCCTTCTTAAAAGTTATTTTGGATACTCAATGTTATTTCTTTCATAAAATGTGCATGAATAATGGAAGCTTCATAATATTTTTCAGAGCTGTTGTATTTATTTCCAGTCTATAGTCTTATCATGAGCAAAAACCCTGGTGTTGGTGGTATTGGTTGTCATTTAATACTACGGCACATGTAAAAGAACTTTCCTGCAAGAAGACCTGATTTAGATGAGGAAAAAACACAGCTTGGCAGCTTGTGCAAGGACCCTTTGTCTCCAGGATTATATGGAGAGCGTATTCTGAAGTGAGGATGGGCAGGATTTCTCCCTTGGACTTCTGGGCAAGTCACACACACTTGCTAAGCCTCAGTTTCCCACATCTCCAAAGCACCCTGCAGCCCCCTGCAGCACCATCATCTTGTGATGCTGTGATCAGCAGTCGGAGCTGTTCAACTGGGCTTGTGGGAGAGTGAGCTTGACCTTATCCATTCGTGTGGCAGCTGGAGAGTTAGAGCAAATTCTCCATATTCGTGTTCGTTTCTGGTCCCACTAGTATTTGTCACTCATTAATTTGTAATTACGCTGGTATTCACTTTAATATCACATTATCTCCTTAATAGGAAAGAGAACATTTTATAGTTGAAAATGCTGTCAAAGAAGAGCCCAGCCAAGAGATAACACACTTCTGAGACTTTAATTACCTAATTAAAAATTTTTTGAGTGTACACAGATAAATCACCAGAAAGAGGTTGAAAAGTGTATAGTGACATGAATGTACCTACCAAATTAGTGCACGGGAGAGGAGAATTTACAGTTTAAAATGATACATAGTGTCCTAATGTCTGATTATATGTTGTTATGTTTATTTACTTTCACTTAGGCTGTGAAGATACATTGACATTATAGAAAAACAGAAAGGGGGGAAGAAACCATTAACAATATTTTCATCTCAACTGTTTAACAAACACTGAATTAAATAAATATTAATAATTGATGTTCCATCATAGACTCACATAGCCCCTAACGTTGAGGGATTTGAAGTACAGAAGAGGAAACTTGATACTTTTTAGAATATGGGTAGCCTTCAGTAAAAATATACCTTTTGGTGTTCATGGGAAATTTCAATCGAGTGTTTAAAAACAATGCTTCTAATTTAATATTTACCTTCACACCTGCAGCACCAGGCTGGCCCTTCAATCCGTCCGGGCCACTGTGTCCCTGAAAGGCAATTCTTATTATTAAAATGCTGTTCCATTATAGTGCCTGGTCAAATAGCACTCTTCTAATTTTACAATGAACATGTCCTGGAGGAATCCTGTGTTGGCCTCTGTAAGATGGATCCAGCACTCAATTCCCAGAGGGCCTGCTTGCAGCCAGGGGTAACTCCCTCAACCTCCTCGCACTCATCCCTCCTTCCCCAGATGGCAGTATGTGCTATTAAGTGGTACACGTTCCACAGGACTTTCTCTAGTGACCCTGCAGTGATTCCCAGCTAGGAACAGACAGAAAACACTGTACCCTATCTTGCCCCTTTGGCAAACTCAGGAATTTGGAAGCAAGGATGTGTCACCCAGGAGACTGAATATACTTGAGTTGTTTCTAAAACATAACCAGCATTTTCTCTCATCCGAGTAAGGAATGTGCTCACCCGAGGGCCCTTGAAGCCGGGGAGTCCAGGAGTCCCGGGGAAGCCACGAGCACCCTGGGGAGAGAAAGCACATGATGAGGGATGGTTTGTTACGAGGAAATTACGATTTCTCCCCTCCAAAGTTTCTCAGCACAAATCAAGCTTGAAATCAAAGACTAGTAGATTTTCAAGCACAAAGTCACACATACACTTGCTCTAATGTGAGTAACTTGTAGAAAACACAATCTGGTTGCTTATGGCACACTTGTCATTAATAGTCCATTATCTGCATTAATAAAACATGTAAATAAGCAGCTCTTTCACTTGCTGAATGCCTCCATTAGTTGCACGAGTCTGAGTGGCATTCGTGTTGTCACTGAAACAGGTGCTGGTAGTGGCAGCTCACATCTACCCAGGAGCCTGTGGAGTGTGGGTGACATGATAGTTCCAGTTCTCACCTGTGGTCCAACAATGCCTCTCTCGCCAGGTCGGCCGGGTTTTCCAGGGTGACCCTAAAACACGAAGCATCGTCGGGTCAGCCTTTTCTTGGTAAATGTTCGGACAGAAGTGGGATCTTCGTTTTTACAGTGGAGGAGAAAGGTATCACATAATGTGTACTGAATGTTTTCCTAGTTAGTCAGGCAGGTTGGCTAATATTTCATTACAGCAATATTTCCCATATGGAAAGAGTTATGTCAGACATATTCAGCTTTTGGCAGAACACTTGACTTGGATCTAGGAATTCTTGTTGAGGTCGGGGGACTGAAATGGCATTTGGAAGTGCTGAAGAGCAAACACTTACGTCTTCACCAGCCTTGCCAGGAGCGCCGGTTGGGCCACGAGCTCCTGCGGGACCCTAAGAGAATGGGAGACCCATCACCACATGAAGGCTGTCTTCAGACACTTTCCAAAAAAATACTTGCTGCAAAGGAGGAGAAATGTACTCACAGTCTGACCAGGCTCACCAGGCTCACCAGCAGGTCCTTGGAATCCTTGAGGGCCCTTAAAGAGAAAAAAAGTACGTTGTGCTCCAAGCCCTTATTTTTTCCTTCTCTTTATTTCAAGAGCCTTGGGGAGGGGGGTACAAATATTCTTTGGTGACATGGTTGCATTGTACAGCGGTGAAGAAGCCTGGGCTTCAACCGCCCCCACCTGTGTACCCTGTTCCCAACAGGCGACCTTCCCCTTCCCCCACCCCTCCTGAGTCTCCAAGTCCTTATTGTCAAATTCTAGGTCTTTTTACAGGAGAGAGGTCACAGGCTTTTGGTACTTACAGGGGCTCCAGATGCGCCAGGAGGGCCCCGAGGGCCCATCAGACCCTGCGAAGAGGACAGACACACTGGTGAGTGACTGGGGCTGGGCGAGACTCACGTGGCAGTGCCAGAGACACTTTGTGAACAGAGGAATAGAATTGGTCCTGGTTTTGTTTCACAGATTTTGTACCTCCAAAGGAAGCGTGCAGGGACCCCGGCTTCCTCCGTGGTTACCCTCCCTCTCCTCCTCCTCCACATCAAGAGCTCATGAGGACTGGACGAGGCTGTCACAGGCTCCCCAAAGCTGTGCACACCTGGGCATGCGTGGTCACTCCTTGCAAGGAGGAAGCCGGTCTCTGCACACCTGCAGAACACACAGCTGCCTGGTGTGCAGCTGGTGAAGCATTGCCATGTGAACTTCCTTATTATGTGACGTCTTACTAAGTTGCACTTAGCGAAGAAATGGATAATTTTATTGCCACAAATTACAGAAATGGAAAAGAACTGAAAGTCCTTCTTAATGATGAGAGGTTTGCTATAACCTTAGGGCTCCTCTAAGGGTTGTTGATGACTAATGAAAATGTCACACAAATATGGACATGATGAGGGATGAAGGAAAATAGTATTGAAACATCCTTCTGGAATATCTATGATATGATATTATTATTGGATATGTGGCCCAAAGGGACAGAAGACTGTTTTCCCCTCTGATCTTCCTGTATCACAAAATCAGAGGAAAACAGACTGTCCCTAACTGTACACTAAACACATATTCTTGACTTCTGTGTGCAGTGATCAAGGCCTGCCCAGTTTATCTCCCTGGCCACTCCTCAGCGGAGAACACTCCCTGTGCAATCTCAAGCGATCTACTCATGACACTCCAGCCATGGGGCTCCACAGTCCACCCCGCCCCACCAGATGAATGCCCTGAGTAGAAGAATACGGATTTTATTTAAAACACAGCATTTTAGTTATGAGTTATTCATTTGGTTTAGAAATTGCTTTGACATTCAAAGAAACTGTCACTTTTCAACCGAAATAATTTTGTAGGCATACATTAAAAATAATTGTCTTTGACACCATGAATTTTAAATTCTATTTATGTATTTTTCCATGTATTTGCAACAATTACATTTACATAAAATGTAGTTTATTCTGTGAGGGGACTATGATTACTCATTAATTCAGAGAAGGGCCCTGGGGGGGTTTCCTAGTTATTGATTTTCCAACATGGAAAATTATTTTAATACTTTCTTATGGCCTGTCTGTCCTACTTGTGAACACGTATCTTTGATTACACATGTCTGTGCACATGTGTGAAGCGCAGGCTTAAATTACATTTCACTGATATTTAAATGTGAACGACCCTGCATTACACCCCTGAGAGGAACTCCAGAAGCTGAGAATCTGCATCCATATTCATTTTCCTGGCTTAGTGTTTGTTTTTTTAAATGACATTTCCTATCACTTTACTGCCCCTTCTTTTGCTTCTTCTGAGGAGATAGGCACTGTTTTAAAAGTGACTAATGCCCAGCATTAGCTGAAATGGCTAATTTCAAATATCCAATATAAACAAAGCCAAAAGAAACGCTCCACTGTTTCATTTCTGATGTGAGCATTTTAAATTACCAGGAAAAATCAGGGAATTAGAAATCATCAATTAAAGGTGCATGGTTTCTCAAGTGAGAGCTTTAATTTACAGAAAATATTATCTTGCCCTTTGCGTGTATTAGCTTACTGCGCGCTGTTAGCTGTAGGGCACACCTTCTTTTGAAGACAGAGCACCACCCAGGTAAAACTGATATTGTACAGACCATGTTAACTGTGGGCAGATAAAGACCTTTGTTTGGCAGTTATTAATTAGAATCACTAAATTGTGCGTGTGCCAAGTTCTATAATCAACATGCTTTTGTTCTGGCAATGTTTCTTTCTGTTTTTCACACACTAGTAGACATTTCGCATGTTCATACCAGGTTTTTTCCTCCTAAAACCTCTCTCTAATGCTTGTCAGAAGCTTTACTTCTTAGATAGGTTGTCAGAGACACTATCATCATCATCACATAGGGAACTTTTCTAAATGTAGTTCAAATGATGGGTTATTTGCTAAATAGTTGTACTAAGTGACATAAATGGTAAATGTTACTCATATTCTTTTCTATATTGATTTATAATCAATAGATTAAAAAAGGATTTTCTTTTCAAAATGTAGAAAAAGAGACATTTTTTCTATTGTTAACCCCCTGAGGAAGGGTCAGAATTGGTCATAGTCACTGCTGTCTCAATGCATCATGTACCTTAGGGCCCACCCAAGGTACATGATTGATAATTGTTGACTCACTGAATGTTTTACTCAAGGACTAGACACTTGGGCCATGATGTCATTGAATATCAGACATCTTGCCTGACAGTTAGTTCTAGTTCTGTTATTAATCGCCCACATGACCTTGGGAAAAGAGCTTAAACTCTCCGGTTTTAAAATGAATGGGCTGGACCAGAACTTGTTTATTCTTTCCAACAAGTTCAGGAAATAGTTCTATGTCTCTAAGTGTGGCTTAAACCTCTGAGCACCGTTAAAGAATGCAAAAAAATTAATCGAGGTGATTACTCTTTTGAATGATATTGATTCGCTCAAGTGATGGTTACCATGGTCAGCGATTATTTCTTGGACACAAATATATCACCTATCCTAATAAGGCATATCTGTAGAGAAAACTGAACTCCTTAGTTTAGGCTTAGGTTTAGGTAGATTTCAATATTAAAAGAGCTATTGTTCTTATCTGAAATAAATATTGTGTTTGCCTAGGTAGCTAAATAAATGCCATTGTAAAATTTAACATACAATAAATTCCCATTTAATAAACTTCTTGGCTAAGATAAAGAGATAAATGTACCATTGGTCCAGGGCCAGCTCCAACCCCTTTCCCATCATATTGAGCAGCAAAGTTCTGGAAGGGGAAAAACAAATAGATTAATAACATAGATATAAAATCACGTACATAAATATACAAAACAGATAATTACTGGTCATGAAGTTCATTTTTCATTTACTTGTAAAGATTGTTCTGTTGTTATTTAAGAGAGCCATGTGTTTGATATAACTGTTGGTTTGGAATTCTATATTGAGCTGAATCTCTCAAAAGTCAGGAGACATACGAGTTGAGACTGCACCTCCACCTCTTTTCTTTTTTTTTGATTTATTGTAGAGATGAGGTCTCGCTGCCCAGGCGGGTCTCGAACCCACGGGCTCAGGCAATCCACTCACCTCAGCCTCCCAAAGGCGCGGGATTACAGGCTGAGCCATCGAGCCTGGCCAGCCTCCACCTCTTTTGAGTGGACAGCTCCCCTGCCCTTTCCTTCAAGCCTTCCTCTCCCTGCTGCCCTGGCCTCTGCCTCGCTCCTTTTCCACCTGGAGGAAGAGAAGCCTTCCAAGCTCTTCATGTCACTGAGGGCCCTTGATCCATTAAGCAGAGACCAAGAGAACAACTGTGTGTTCCTGCCTGTTGCTATTCCCCACCAGAACGACACCAGATGACTAAGAAGTCTTTTTCTTGCTGGAGCTTCAGAGAAAATATAAAGAGTTTTCAAGTTTAGAGGAATATTAAATTAAAATGCCCCTTGGAAGATTAAACTTTTAAAGGAGAGTTCACATAATAACTTCACTGTTAAAGATCTTTCTTGCAGTGGTAGCTCTATTAAGAAGGTGCTTTTTAATGCACTCACTAGATAAGCAATCATAATAGGATCTTTGGGGGAGAAAGGTCTTATTTTACTGGCATATAGTTGGGCATTCGAATCTGGCTTCTGATTCATAGTGCTAACCAATTAAGCAAATATGTTTTCCTTCCTGCAGTAAGGCCATTTGGCACTCATACCATTGTTAAAGACATAAAGCTAAAAGAAGATATTAATGAAAAAGGGAAATGTACTTTTCTCAAATTAGTTTCAAGCAAATTAAACCTAAAACCTCTTTGAATGTTGGTTCAGCGGACTTCAAGCCAAGGAGAATAAAAAGCGTAGGATGTCTTCAAAATTGCTTAAGATCAGGGATTTTACTTATATAAGTCAATCTAATCAAATTCTTTAATAATGTAACACCCCTTATTTGTGCCTTCCTGATAAAAGATATTAAATCCCCAAATTAAATAATGGCGGTGATGGCCACAGCTAACTTCAGTGCACACATAGACCAGTCATGTAACTGACAAAGCCTCATAAAGAGAACAGGAAAGCAGGGTCTTGAAGGAGGAGGCCCAAGGAATGAAGTAAAATACACAAATTTTCAAATAGCAGATTTCTCCCTTAGCTGCTAAAAACAAATTCCACGATAAACTTTCTTTCAACAGAGGGATGAGGAACTAAAGTTAGCCAAGAGTTAGCAATACTTAGGATGCCTTACCCCGCCGAGGCCAGGGGGGCCAGGAGGACCAGGTGGACCAGGAGGGCCCATGAGACCATTTTCACCATCTCGGCCTGGGGGGCCTGATGGACCCTGTTAGACAGAAAGTGAGTTAGGTCAAGGTTAGACAGGCCCAGACAAAATCACCATGTGGAAAGGAGATCTGAGAATGCATGTGGTAAGATAAGCTGTTCAGACCTTTCCATGTGCAAGTAAGAGGACATTTAATACTCTACATGTGTCACTGACTGGAATTCACCTGTGACATGAGTTTATTTTGGACAGAGGGTTAGTAACTGATGAACCACGACAACATAGGGCAGTTATGCTAAAGAAATATCTCAGCCATTGAATATTAACTCATAATGAGACCGCAATATTCAAATAAAGGTAGAAATTACAGCTAGAGATTAAGATTCCATAGACCTCATATGTTTACCAGTGCACCGTGAGGTACTATGCTTTTCACTGCTGATTTCTGACTGTGATGAACTTATTTAACTGTCTTGGTATGTTATGTGGGAATAGGCTGATATTATAATGAATAAGGCCATCTTATCACAGGATATAAAATCTTGCAGATTTCCTACAGTTAACACTATTTGTGTTCTTAAAGTAATCGATATAATTCTATCTTTAATAAATTGTTCAGGTGTGATACTCATTAGTCTCCACATCTTCATAGATATAAAATATAGGTACTTAGATACTGGCAAAAGTGTTTAATAATACAAAACCATGCCGTTGTAAACATCAAATAAGCATAACAGGGAGATCTAAGAATGCCACAAATAACTGTCAGTCCGACCTGTACTTGTGTGAATTGAGACAGAGAAACATGCTATTGACTTCCCAAGCTATTCCCAAGCTACATAAGGGAATCTTAACTTCAAAATCAAACGATATATATTAACAAAGAGGCCTGTGGTGGTAGGTCGATATTTTTTCACTATGCATATGTTGAATAGGTCAATTAAAAAAAAGAAAAGGTAGACGAGGCATAGAATATGACTGTCTTTAACAGTATTTTAAAGGATATTCTTGACCTAAAATAAATACGAATCATGTATAACAATGCTCATTCATCTCTTCTATAGGACATTATTGACCTAAAAGGTGGTACAATTATTTGGATACATGCTATTTTCATAAATTGCCAGTCTCCTATATAGTTTCTAACATAGGGTTGTTAAATACAGGTCAAAGCCCTTTAGTAGTTCAAAAATTACACACCCTTTCTCCGCGTGGTCCCCTATCTCCAGTTGGGCCCTACAAGGAAGATATAAACAATACAATAATTAATGTCTAAATCATTTCCAGTGAACATGCAAATCCTGCTTGAAAATAATTAGTTGGTAACACTGATCTCACCACACTGTTATGAGATAGATGGTAGCTAAAAACTTGGTACAATACAATAGATAAAGTATATGGTTTTTAATATAATTACATGTAATTTTTTTCATCTGGGAGACTGAAAACTGCCCCAGGCTCCAGCTTTTAGGACAATATTACACACAGTATTTTTAGTAAAATGATAACTGCAGATGAAATGACCATTTTGTTACATCTCTAACAGCACAGTTATATAGTCAAATCCCTTTAAAATAAACTTTCATTGACTACCTATAATTAACATAATTTGCATTTTATCTCCAGAATAAAGACAAGTCTTTTTGTTCTTTAGTGTGTAAATCACTAGGTTGTAGGATATAAATGTAATTAAGAGGTGATTCTTGAAGACAACAACATTCCATTATCTTAAACATCAAACTTACTTTATTTTATGGTTTAGCTAATGAATATTCATGTGAGCAAAATCTTGAAAAAGCAGTTTATTTCTATAGTCAACTACAAATTTAGTTAAATTATATATTATCCGTGATAATTTCAGATAGTTAAGGAGAAGTATTGGACTCTTACCTTTCTTATAGTTTCCTAGAAAAGAAAAAATAAAAGATTATTAGGAGGAGAATTTTATATACATTTAAAAACAGTTCCCATTCTGGTGTCATACACAAACACACCTACAGAGTACACTATACTGTGCACCTTACTATTATCTTAATTTAATATTTCAAAATACAATTTAAAATTGTTACCAATAAGTTAAATAAAATGTTATGTATGGAACCAAATATATATACTTATCTGTAAATACACCTCAAGTTCAATTCACAAGCCAAGAATTTATTCAAAATAAATACTTTTGATTCCAAGGGAATGACAAGATTTTCTAGCCCAGTGAAGTCTTCTTCAGCAGTTGATGTTAAAACTCAAAACTCCTATTGGGTTAATTACTGCATATTTCTTATGGGTATTTTATAAAGCTAGTCTTATTCAGTAGCCCCACCCATTGTGAAAAATGGGGTGGGTACTTTCTAAAGCAGCCAGTTTCTGACTACCAATACACTTGGTGATTTTTTTGGGAGTCCAGGTTAGTCAATACCAACGTAATTTCCCCTTCCACCCCAGAGAAGACAACACTGTAACCAAGGGAATCAAAGTATTACAAAATATTCCAAAAATAATTTGACTCACCTCTTGTAAAGCTATAAAAATAAAAGGAAAGAGGGAAATAATTATTGGTATAATTTCATTGATCGATAGCAGTAATCAACAAATAGATACACAAGTTTGTAAAAATAAGTTACCTAATTAAAGGATCAATTATACTTTTTATTGAGACTATTTTAATGACTTAGAAATTATGCAAGTCAAAAGTATGGCAGGGATCAGCAAGGTGATTAGTTTGCAATATTAATATGTAAATATATTTGAATTAAATTGTTAATTATTTACTATTTTATAAATGCTGTGAAATATTAATGTGTCTGAAGGACAATTCTAATGTTTAGCAATTAAACTGGCAAACTGCACAGATAAATTGCTGTCAGACAAGCCCAGTAGATTGATGGGGAAATTTAATTTATAGCTTAATTCAGTTTTAATATCTAAAAATCTAAAAAAGGGAACATTTGGGCAAGTAAGTCACCTAAAGCAGATCTTGTTTTTTATAAAACGTCGAAGGTTCCTTAGTACATCATTGAGTTTGTACCACTCTTGATATTCTTTTGTCAAAAGGTCTAAATTGCACATTATTAACTATGAAAAGGGATTAATTCAGACATCTGAATTTTGGTTTCAAAGTAGTTCACTTAAATTAGGTAAGGTCATTTTACCAGTATTTATCACTTTTGCCCCTGAGAAAGAATTGCTTTGTATAAGTGGAAGAACTGTGGATTAAAGATCTTGAAAAATAATGGGCAAAATAAACTAAAGTAATATCGCCCCTTTGTCATAATTGCTACAAGTCCTCTCCTGCGGTATAAAAGTTACAGGTTAATACAGGATACACGTGTGGCCACACTTGCCACAGGATGAATCACCCCTAAAAATTGCTTTAATTAGGTGGCCAAGAAGTGTGTTATTTGGAGTGAGAACATCTGTTGCAACAGTCACAATTCAGGAGGGTGGACCACATCCAGCAATGACATTTAAGGGCAATTTATGAGAATTACTGTTAAATTAGAAGAATTATATGTTTACTTCATTGTGTCCATCAGGAGGAAGAATAATTATGCCTGTCTTGATTAACAGGAAGTCCTTGAGATTTTGGAAATCGGCCTTCTAATTACCCAGACGTAAGCCATTCTGAAGAGCGTGTGTCTGGTGACATTTACTCCAGACCACGGTTGGTGGTTGACCAGAAAGCCAGTTGCCCCTGTACCTTCCACATTTCCAAGCCTGTTTTCACTTTTTCTGTAGGAGGCAGCTCCTTCTCCCCACTCTCAGAGGTCATAGAAAATGAACTTGCTATTGCGAACTTGTTCCCTTCAGTTAGGCCTTAGCATCCACAGTGTGAGTCCTAAAAGTGGGTCAGTCAGGATGGAGGGTGGCCACCATGGCATGCGGGCGGAGCAACTTTCTGGAGTGCTGGGTGTGGCCAAACAGCCCCTCCTCCCCCATCAGGTCGATATCTTTGTCTAGTACTTTGGCAGCCATTTTCAGGAGGAAAAGGGACTGATTTTCTTCATCCTATCTTGACTTGGAAGGCTGGCCATGAGACCCAGGGCTGGAGAGTGAACTCGGAGTCCACCTAATTTCCACCCTACGTCTTAGAAAAGGCCCAGTTTGACTTGCCCACGGTCAGATGGTAAATGAGAGTCAAGTCAGGGGAAGAACCCCGGCCCCTAACAGTGTGCTCAAAACGTCTGATGCCCACTGCCAACGTGCAAGGGGTGGTTCTAAGGCTCTCAAGAGGCGGGCAGGTCCTTGCTACAACAACGCGCCCGCTTCCATCGCCAGATGACGGACTGGGAGCTTGCTTCGCTTTCCGGAATGCCTCCGTGCCAAGCAGCGACCACCTTCCTCCCAGCACGCGCTGCCCGGCCCCCGGGAATGTCGCCAGCGGGGCCGCAGACCACCCTCCCGCTGACCGGCGGAGGGGTGCCATCCGCCCGGCCTGGTCTCCTGCACTCCCGGTCCCTTCCCCCAGAGGGCGCGCGCCCGCCCCTCCCCCAGACACGCCTCGCGGCGCCCAGGAGACAAAAGCCCCTGGGGCGGGCGGGACGTCCCACGGCTGGGGGGCTTTCGAGGCGGGCGTCCGTGCGGCCCGTCGGGGACGCCCTAGCACGTCGACTGCGGACGCCGCGTCCCTAGGGAAGGCCCTTCCGCTCTCGGGCCCGCTCTGCCGGGGGTCCGGGTCCAGCCACCCGACCGCCTCGCTCTGAGTCCAGAGGCGAAGCCCCCCGGGCCGAGGCCGCGCGCTCCAGGGTCGGACGTCGACGCCGGCGCCGGGACTCCGGCTCCGGCCCCGCCCCGCGGGCACTCACACTGGCAGGTCGCGAGGCGCCAGGTCACTGCGAGAAGCAGCAGGGTCCGCGCGTGCACAAAGCTGAGCATGTCTGCGCCGGGGACATGCAGACTCCTCGTGTCACGGAGCGTGGCCGGCGGGGCTGTCACCTGGCGGGCGCGGGCATGCAGTCGGGCCGCGCAGCTCTCCGCCTCCTCCGACGTCGGGCTCCCGCTCAGACCCCGGCCGGCCCTATTTATGCGGCAAAACTTTCCCCGGCCC